AAGACTTTTTATAATTATCATGTTTTATCTACATTGAAGTGCTTATAAAATGGGATTGCCGTGGTATTTTCAGAAGTCCAAGCTGTTGCAGATATAAACGATACCGTGTTCATTCCCGAACCAAAAGTGAAATCATCGACGGTTGCCAATATTGAAAAACTGCAGAAGGAACGTGAGGAACGAAGAGCGCAACTGGTAAACGATGGTTTTGCACATAATTCATTTTCATTGGACCTCCTTATTCGTTAGAAAATGAAAGATTGTAAGTGGACTACCCTAGTGAAATTTCCAGAACAACGTCAAAAAGCAAAAAGAAATGGAGAAAAGTATAGATCCTGGTAATCCCAATTATCAATTCTTGCTCATGATAAGGGAATATCAATCTCAAGTAAGTTTATCGGAGATACAAAGCTGTCTCATTTCCTGTGTTGCTCAATATACCTCCATTTTTTTTATTCAGATTGACTATCGCCCTCTTAAAATGAGTGATCAAGTGACTGACAATAGGATTTCTGTATGCGTTAGGAAAAGGCCTCTCAACAAGAAAGAAATCAATAAAAAGGAGATCGAAGTACGTTCGTTTTCCACGATTAGGGGCACCGTTTGGGATGGCTGGATGGGCGGTACCAGAAAACAACCTCATTGTTCTCCTTTTCACGCCTTCGAGGAAGGCAGGAAGGGCTGAGGCGCGTCGGCTTTGTTTTCTGGCTCCACCCACTCGGCTTTAACTGTAAATGTTTGGTTGTCGTGTATTTTTATATTTTTATTGAAATAGCTTAAATCAGCTCTTTTTAGGTGATCACGATCCCGAATCGGGACCATCTCATAGTCCATCAACCGCAAGTTAAGGTTGATCTGACGAAATATCTGGACAATCAGAAGTTCCGTTTCGATTATACGTTCGATGAAAATACTTCCAATGAGATGGTTTACAAGTATGTCTCTCACTCCCTAGATGGGACTCTCCGCAGTTCGGCGACGAGGGATGGCATTTTGGCGTTCTGTGCCTAGTACGCGGTGTTATCGGGGGAGGGGCATTTTGCGTTTTGCTAGCACCGGTTTACAAGTCTCTGGTGAAACTTGTGAACACCTGTAGAGCTGGAGCAAGCTCGTCGAGCCACCGTGGTATGGTACTGGTACTTGCATGGTATTTCATTACTTTCGTGACTTCACGAGAGTTCCTAGGTCTCCACATGATTTCTCGACACGTCGATGGGAAGTAGCAAAACGGCAAAATGCTGCTTTCGCTCTGGAAACTGCACCGGGATTTTCTTTCTTCAACTTATTCTGAAATCTGCCTTAGGTTCACGGCTCAGCCGTTAGTAAAAACAATATTCGAGCAAGGATTTGCCACATGTTTCGCGTATGGGCAAACGGGTTCTGGAAAAACCCACACCATGGGTGGGGACTTTACAGGCCGGAATCAGGTACGATTTTGCTTTGGCATTGAACATCTAACGTTGCCAGAAGTTGAAATGGCTATTCTTCGATTCATTCACATCCTTCAAAAACCTCGTTGAATTAGCCGTAAAGATACTCTTTCATGGAAGACTTTTACAGAATTGTGCAAGTGGCATTTATGCTCTCACAGCAAGTGACGTCTTCAAAATGCAGCACTCACAACAATACAGGAAATTGAATTTGTCTGTCAGCTGCAGCTTTTTCGAAATATACGGTGGAAAAGTCAGTAACCTCTCCAGATTTCTACTTCTCCTTACGAAGATCAGAAGCTAAAATGGCTTCATTCTTCAGGTGTTTGATTTGTTGAAACACAAGGCATTACTGCGAGTTCTGGAGGATGGTAAAAAGGAAGTCCAAGTTGTTGGTCTCCAGGAGTTGCCTGTCACATGTGAGAATGACGTAAGTTTCTAAACGATAAATCTTTCTTCGCTGGAAGACGGCCGTGACAATCGTAATTTGTCGCGACATCGCACGCGACCATGGAAGCAGCGTTTTCTTATTTGGCGTGGCCTTTTGATCGAAACACAACACAGATTTCATGTCGACTGTGACATCGAAGACACATATGGCTATTTTTGTTTAGACATTGTCCATGATCTCTACCCGCGGCATAGAGGGGAGCTGGACGTGGGCAGGATACCAGTAATTGTTAATAATAAGTTGTGATCTCAAGGTTCTGGATCTCATTCGACAAGGAACCGATATGCGCACTGCTGGTGCCACATCTGCAAATTCGAATTCAAGCAGATCGCATGCAGTTTTCCAAATTATGCTCCGAAAGTAGGTTTTTTTTCTATTTGTTCTTAATACGCTTACCTAAGTGACCATATTTTCAGAGACAAGAAATTGTGGGGAAAGTTTTCCTTGATTGACTTAGCGGGTAATGAACGTGGTCAGGATACCGGTAACTCTGATAGGCAAACACGACATGAAGGAGCTGGCGGGTTTAACGTAGATGAGCGGGGTCATGCAGCGGCGCAACTGTGAGACCATAACGCGTGCGAAGCTCTTCATTTCTTCATCGCTCTTTTTTATTTCATCCGAACCTTGGGCAGAGAAAGGAGCTATCATTACTGCCGCCGCCGCTTGGCCACTGCCTCACCTTAAGTTGCGTGTCCTAACTGCCTAAACCCTTCATGGCGTGAACCTATTTCAACACTTATTTGTTTATCGGAATGCATTCGATCAGGATGCCCCACGCGTAATCAATTATCAGCTCCGTAGCCACCTTCATAGCGATTGATCCGGGACTCCGCGCGCATTGCGATCGCCCGCACTTCGCGCCAATCGTCAGTCGGCTGCAACGGTTAGAAGAGGTTCCATCCTGAGTATGTTCGGATAGGCGGTTGCAGCTGTCCAAGGATTAGAAGTAGAGCACACTTAGTCGCATTTCAGCAATTTGCGAATCGCGCGATTGGTAGTCGCAAAGTATGAAGGTGGTCTTAGGTTCAGCAAGCAATATCATTACGGTATAAATCCGCTGAGTGGTCTCACTCCTATCTGTGCAGACGAAGACGCATAACTGTAAAACTCAATCGAATAGTTTTCGGGAACAAATGTCCTCCGATGTTATCACAAGAATGATGGGTTGTGAGGCAAAAGTCGTGCCCCAGGCGGGAGTCGAACCCGCACCTCACGCTTTCCGGGCGAGTGCGCTATTTACGCCACCAGGGCCGCTTTTACCCTCTCAGCTTAACGGCTTTTATGCCGTAGCCTTACAGCACTCACACGTTTAACTTGGTGAGCCGGTCAGCCGTAATCGTTAGATATCGGCATGGAACCGCGAGGCCGAAGGCTTTACAAGTTTTTGAAGCTGTTTTGTTATGATAACTGCTGTTTAACGCCGCAGTACGCGTTCCGAATGTTATCACAAGAATGCTGAGTTGTGGGCAAAAGTCGTGCCCAGGCGGGAGTCGAACGCGCCACCTCACGCTCCGGGCAGTGCGCACTATCCGTAGGGCTAGCGGCATAAGCGTTAGCTGACCGAGCGCGTAGAAGCGGTCCTGCGTCGCGTAACGTAAGCGTACTCGCCCGGAAAGCTTGTGGGCAAAACTTGGCGTACCCTCCCGCCTGGGGCACGACTTTTGCCCACAACTCAGCATTCTTGTGATAACATTCGGAACGCGTACTGCGGCGTTAAACAGCAGTTATCATAACAAAACAGCTTCAAAAACGTCTCGAAATGATAGTCCTTTTGGGGGCATTTCTTCACTTATCTGTTGATGTGGTTTCATCTTTGTAAAAGTATTCTGTTGCAGGAATGTATTCGTGCCATGGCCAAGAATAGCCATCACGTTCCATTCCGTACATCAAAGCTCACCTTGGTGCTACGCGATTCCTCATCGGTACGAGGAAAGCAGCGCACTGTGTATGGTGATGTGAATCTTGTGCCCTGTCATTTTTTTCTGAATTAAGCTATGTGGTTCGATCTGGGCTCGCACGAGGCAGCTGCCGCGGGGTCCTGTTTCAGATAGCAATGATCAGTCCTGGTATGTCATCTGTGAACACACAATCAACACTTTGCGATATGCTGATAGGTGCGTGAATCTCTACGCAATTCGCTTTATATTGGGCATCGCAAAAAGGTTTGAGGCGGCCGTGTTTTGAATACATTACACCGGGTTGGACTCAAGTGTACTTCTATTCGTGTGGCGCACACTAAATTCTGATACTTTGTTGAGAATGTAGTTTCATACTTTGCATCAGAGTGCAGAGTGTAAGTTGTCTTCAGGAATAAGTTCTCTATTTTTACTATTTATACTCCATTGAGGGTTAGTGCCACCAAATGCCACCGCATTCCGACGATACTCCATCCCTTCCCCCCATTCATGCTAGTTTGCTACCACGGCGAGGCGTTTTTCGCAGGCAAGAGCTGGTTTCCCTCCTGCGATCTGCCCGCCCTCCTCCTGGTGAGTTGCGGGCTGACCAATACTTTATATGTAGTGACTTTTCATTGGCTTTTTTTCTTTTGTGTTCTTTAGAGGAACATCCGTAAATAGTTTCGTACGTATGAATATCCCATAAAATAACCTCCATGAATTATTCGTTTACAGAGTGAAAGAGCTTGGAGCTGATGGAGAGCGCGCAGTTCCCCCCTATGGCGATGATGAGCTGATGTTACGAGGCGATGGGGCTGGTGATGATGGTGATAACGAAGATGCTGATCTTTCCTTGGTTTGCAGTAGAAATGTGAGCAGTTAACATTTACACCTTCGGTTATTGGGTACTTAAAGCACTAACTTCCAGGGCACTGACAAGACTACGTTTGATATATGATGAAAATGATCTCCAGTGTAAACGCTGCCGAAGAAGATGCCTTGTACACTCAATATAATGTTGAACTGGTAACAGTTATTGTGTCTTGAGATAGCTCAATTCATATTTTCCACGTATTTTGTTGTAGAGCACGAAAACCTGGTCAAAGGAACTAGCTGACCTACGTACGCGCTCAAGTACGGTAGATTACGATACGGAGAAATACGTAAAGGATTCAATCGCTCAGATGAAGAGAGTGCAATCTGCAGCTAGCGAATGCCTAGGGTTTCCACCGTATGGTCATCTGTATGTATGTTAATTTTCTTATAATATAACGAATTCCGAGAAAATCGTTTTTCCTGCACATTTGCATCAGAGCTCAACTGATTCAGTGCTGCGAAGTGCATTAGCTAAGTAATACTCGGCTGAATTATACGAAATACACTCAAAATTTCCTACTCTGTCACAACCCGCATCACAGCGGCCTACCATTTTGAATTTTCTCAACTTCATACCGGAAAAAGCACAGCTCCATTTCCAGCAACCAAATGCGAACCTTCCAAGTGGCGTGAGAGACCACCAACATACCCTCGGATATTCTTAAAAGACACGTCTCGCCACGGGGGTCACATCTCTCTCTTAAGAGGCCTATGTGTCCGTCTATTGTGAGTGTGAACTCGGGATCGCCGGATCCAGCGCCCCTTCTTGAGTGTCTACGCTTTGGCCTTTTTGGGGACAAATATCGATTTTGCACAGCGGCCGCTTTTAACCAAAAACTGGTGACCCCATAATAGTAGAGGTGCTTTTTCCCATATCTAAGTCTTACTGACCTGGTCCACAATAAACGCTCTCAAACACTGAAACATCCCAACCTCTACGCTGCCTGCACAAACTCCCGGCCCGGACATCGGAATAGGACTGATCTCCGTCTAACCCTGGTCCGCGTTTAATATATCGCCGACTGAATCTTCGTGGTTATTCATGATTTCGTTTGCTGTCTCAAATTCATGATATGTGAAAAGGGAGTTGGAGAAATATGAAGAGCTGTATATACCGCGGGAGTGCTGGCGGTATGGGGACTATTATGAGTTGACAAACATCGCAGCCGGTTTTCTACAGTAAACACGAAAGATGGCAGAGATTGTGCTCTACTTGTATAAACGTTTTCGAAAGTCAGTTTCCAAGCCGATAAGAACTAGATTTGTGGTGCTATGGTGGTTCTCTCTCACCGCAGAATTGGTGAGTTCTCTGCTGGTCCGAACCTCACGCAAGTTTTACTTTCTTCAATTAGTTCCGCTATTTCTGCTAGGGGATTTTTAGTCATGCAGCCAAACACGGCGCGTTTAGGGGCTTTCAAGTTTTTTATTTGGCCCCCACACAGCGGGTTTTGTTTTAACCGAGCAGAGTTCGATCGTTGTGTGGGCTCCAACTGCCTGCATAAAGTGCGTAGATCTTCGGCGAACACCTTTCGGAAGTGTTTAGGATTAACGTGCAGTTGAATCCAAGCCACATCCTTTATCCCTTGAGCCAGAGTAGGCGTGAGAACACGGTAAACTGGTTACTCGTGGAATATTCCAATCTGGACAACTGTCATCTTGTTCTGTGTTGGACAGAGACACGACAACAGTTGTGTCAAGATTGAAATATTCCACCAGAAGCATAGACACCTTCAGGTTAAATCGGAAAGCCATGCAGCCCACGTTCTAGCCGTGGACCTCAGGGGGATTTCGAGGCATATGTGTAGTATGTAGGACGCGCTTTTACGTACGGCGTAAAGCCAATTAAACACACGTTTGAAGAAGCGAGACAGCTGCTCTGCGAGCAAAAGGCTAGAGACGGAGATGATCAGAAGGACGAATTGGGTGGGTTATGACCCGTCCCTTATGGATGTGACAGTGTTGCACGCAGAAATGAACGCAATGGTCGATATCTGCGGACAGATGAGGACCGCCTCGGCGCTTCCGATGGCGGGAGCGAGAGAGGACGAGCAACAACCGCATGAGAGTCTCTTCAGCTTCAGTAGACGGCAGCAGCCACCCTCGGCACTTGCGGATTGGCCTGGGCGTCTTTCAAGTGGATATTCCCTTGTTGCGAGGGGTCTAGCGGTGTTTCTCAGCCGTATATTCGGGCCAGAATGGGGCTAAGGGAGTGGGGAGGGGAGAGAGAGAAGGAAGGAAGAAAAGAAAGAGAGAAGAAAAAAGGAAGGAGGACAAAGGCCTCGTAGCTGAGATATCCTGATACCGTACTATTTCTATAAGGAAGGGATTGTACGAGTCAGGTAATCAGAGAATTCGTATTAAATCACGTTGGCACTATTTCCCCCCCCCTTCCTCTATAGCTATCTTATCGCCAGCATCTAGTCTCTTTAGAAAAATCTGAACTAATTAATGTTGGAAAATGTCCTTTTGCACGTTTTCTTTAATTTAACACTCCAAAAAAAGCACAGAATATAAATATGTTGTTTTAGAGCGCTTGGAGAAATGGAAAGAACTACAGGCCATGGAAGCTGAAATGTCTAAGAAAGTCTCCGCAAACCGGAAGAAAGTGATAGGTTTCCTTGGTTGCTTGGAGCATTCCATTTAACTCGAAATTTACTAGATCTTGAAAAAATGTGCTTCGTTTGTGATTCTCTTTTAAGATAGCCTGCAATACGCGTTTCTGTGCTTAGTCGGGTTTTATATTATTATATCAATTTTTGTAATTTATTAACTTTTCACGCTGCTTCAAAGTGGCGCGTTCATAAGCCACACAATCGGTTATGTGATTAGCTTTCATTTGCGGTGATTTCAACGAATGCATGATGATTTCTTCGAAAACGATCTATTTGCACCGCTATTCTCACTTGTAACATTCACATCGGCGCTAATAACGCTAATGACTTGGAGGGGGCATTTGGAAGGAGTACTTGTACAAGACTGAAATTATCGTCATTTGCATAGAATTCACATCTTTTAAAGCCAGTGTGCATTATGGCTGGGGCGGGTGGTTGTCGCCATCGTCATTGGTGCTGGGCAAGGTGTGGCCAAATGCCTTCTCACAGTCCTTCCACCAATGACGCTGGCAACAACCGCCCGCCTCCAGCAATCGTGCCCGTTATTCGCCTACAAGAGCTGTTACTCATGTAGACAAACCCGGAATTCCCCCTCGCATTTGTCCTGGCTTTGCACCAATTCCTTTAGGTGCCCCCTCCAAGGCCGCTAACGCCTTTATATTTACTAGTTCACTATTTGTATGTTTTATCAGCTGTGCAACAAGTCCTTCTGCCCTTACTCATGTCTTCCTTCATACGAAATATCAAGCATCTAATAACCAGTTTTTTTCATTAATCGCTTATATTGACTGTTGGGGACGGCAGATGTCCTCTATAGGCTGCAAGAGGGGAGATGGACAAGGCGGTCGTAGTTTGTCGCGTCGTCGCGCGCGGCGCATGTTGCGGTGGTGCGCGGAAAGTTCTCGATTTGCATCAGTTTGTCGATTTTAGCACCAAAACACCTATGAATTTAAGCGGAGACGACTCCATGTTGGATCATTTCGGGAATTTCCCTTCATTTTACCAACCAGATTTAACTAACCTGACATGACAACTCGTCCGTCCCGCGCCGCCGTGCTCGTCACGCCTGCAAACGCGGCTTGTTACGATTGTCTTGCCACGCAATCCTGTGCGAGTTGCATAGTGTCATAAGAAATAGGAATATTGTTCGTAACTGTTTGTTTTACTTATTTTTTTATTTACCAAATAATTAGCTCATGAAAAAAGTGCGAAGAAAGATCATTTCTACTTACTTACCCAAAAGCCAACACATTCCTGTTTTAATTATGGCCCGCTTCCGTATGCATCTGCCGACCTTGTTGCATAGATACTGTTGCTGTCATTCTCATTGTGAATTTTATCACAATATTTATTGTCTGTAGAATTATTATGCGAGTGAAGTTTCTTTTTTTAAGGTGTTCGATCCTTTGCGAAATAATATAGATGTGGACGGAGGACGGGGAAGCGGGGGGGGGGGAGAGAGAGGAGGGGAGGGAGAGAAAAGGCTAGCGTCTAGCAAATCACGGTTTATAGCATATGACCCAAGGATGTGAGAACACATTCTGCGATGGTTGCGTGGGCGGGGTTGATACCATTGTGCCTTCTTCACTGATAAGCCTTTTCTCCTGACCTTTAGAGTTAGAGGTTCAGGAACGTAGCGTGTTCGCTATGGGTTATTTCACGCTACTGGCGAGGCGGCAACAATGCGGCGAAGTACTGAGATTGGAGCCGGTTGTCGCTACCCTTGAGCCCCTTTTCTGTGCAATGAGTGAAGAAAAAGGAAAGCCGTTCAGCTGCAGATTCATGCTCAACATGGCAAAGACCAGGATCCACGGAGCTGAGTGTCCAGTTGCCTTTAAAGGCGGTATAGTTCGCTTGGCCTTTGAAGGCAGTAATATTGGCAGCGGAAGTGCTGAGCTTTTGCCGCTGGAACCCGGAGTAAAGCATGATGTTTCTGCGCTGCGGTACTACTTTCGCTCGAGTAAGGGTGTACTTAGCACGCGATCGCGTTCATATGAGATATTGCTGGTTTGAGGTGGATGAGCCACGCAACATGCGTGAAAAGTTAGACTGAGCGAGATCGCGGTCGTATTATCAGAAAAGAAGACTATGTAGAGAAGAGGGCGGAGAGCAGAGCAAAAAATTGATGCGGTTCAAAGTACCGAAACACAAGGTTCGGTACTTTGGACCGCATCAATTTTTATCCGGTTTTAGTCCATGACACCTGGTACGTTGGGGATGCCAGCGAGGCGGATAGTAGTTGGTCGCTGGAGGAGGGAGGAGTCGTTTTTGCCTTTAGAAAAAATGTTTTCGATTTTTGACTTTTCGCTGTTCCGTGTCTGAAGTGTGCTATATATCCTCGAACACCCCATGCATTCAGGGCCAGCGACGGTAAAATGAGCGCGAGTTTGTGCGAAAGTGCAAATGAAACAGAAGAACTTTTTACACTGTAAGTCATTGAGTGACCGAACTCCTCCTTAGAATTACTTTG